TTATTTTTATTATTATTGTTAATATTTCGATTGTCGCAATAGTTTCGAAAATTGCTTGCGAAAATTTTCGCAAAATTATTGAATATTATATTATTGAACATTTGCGTGAACTTGTTTGAATTGCAATTTGTGTTTAAATTATTATTTTTATACTTCTGTTTATAGCCATAAATTTTTTTAAATTTAAATTCAAATTTTCTATCAATTACTTTTCAGTTTTTGCTTTTATTTCGGAATTCCGGAAAAAAAAACAAATGCAAAATTTAAAGTTAAATATAGAAATGTTCTCTTCGCTCTAAAATAACCAAAATTAATACTTGAAAAGGTGATATTAAATTTAAACTCAAATTGATGATTACATTTAATTTAATATATTACTTTATTCTTCGAGTCTTATTAATCTCATGGATTCAGCACTGATTTGTTTTCACTTTTGTGATGTAATAAATTCATATTAAATAAGCATAAAAATCCAAAAACATTACTTTTCAACAATAATATTTGCATTTAAAATGCTGCAAAAGTATGCAAAAAGTAATGTCGATTGTTTGATTTAATTCATTAAATGGAAATGTGCTAGAAAATTGGATGCTTCAAAGATTATTAAGCTGAAATGAATTCTGAAAAGCTGTTGAAAACATTTGAGAAGTATTTACTCAAATATTGTCACGTCTGCTAGTAACTTCGTTAATATCCGTTTTATTCAAATTGTAAAGATAGTAGCAGTTCAAGTATTATCAGTATTATCATTTCAATCTCAAGCTAATCATATTACTTTGAAATATTTCAATCAAATCAATAAAATAAACCAGCTAATTTGATAATACTTTTATTTTATCATATGTTTACTTATTAGTGCTAGAAAAATATTATCACAGATTAAGTGATATTATCAAAGTTAAAGTCTAATTAAGTTTATAATTATATTGCAAGACATCTTGTCTATTCTGATATCCTTTGTTTTCATTAATGACAAAAATCCTTTGTTTTAATTAATGATATTTTTTAGATCATTCAAATACTATAATGTTGAGTTTATAACTTGATTATTTGCTTGCATTTATTTTTATTTTTATAATTTGTATTTTTTCAAAATTTGTATAGCAATTTGAGAAATTCATCAAATCACTCAATATGGATTAATATGTCAATTTATTTTAAAACTATGTCAGGAATTTGTTAAAAACGATATTTATTTTATTTTATTTTATTTTTCAAATATCCATTTTTGATGTGTATTGCATGACTGCTTAATAAAATAATCTATCATTGAATATAATAAAAAACTTATGGAAATTTCTCCTTTGCAACAAAATTACTTGCAGGATGTAAATGCTACATTTGTATGAATTTCAAATGGGATCAGTATTTACTTAAATCATTTTACTCAAATTGGAACTTAAATCATTTCAATTGCGATCAGTTTTAGCTTAAATCATTTTGATCAAATTTGAACTTGAATCTTTTCAACTAAGATCAATTTAAACTCAAATTATTTTTACTTATTGCAAAGTGAAAATTATTTAAAAATTACAAACTAACAATATTTTTTAAAGGTATTTTAAAAATTTTGTTTAAAGTTTCAATTTAAATAACAAAATATTTAATTGTCAGCAAATTTTTAAAAAAATTTTTTTAAATACCTTTTAAAAAATAAAAAAAATTGAATACTTTTAAAATACCTTTTAAATTGTTTCAAAAAATAAAAAAATTCAAAAATGTTAGCAAATTTTTATAAAATTTGCTGATATTTTGAATTTTTTTCTATTTTTAGAATAGAAAAAAAATTTTTATAAATTTTTTTATTATGATTTTTTAAAAAAATTTTTATAATCAATTCTATAATATTTGTGATGGCAAAATTGTGCTGCCTTGTCTTCAGCAAATTTTATAAAAATTAGTCAATATGCTAAAATTGTTGGAAGGGGCTGTGTGGCTTAGAAGCATTATTACTTTTAGCTTCAGATGAAACATTCGAAGTAATTACAACTATTTCTTTCTTCTAGCAATCAAATTTTTCATTTCCTTGCTATTATCATTTTTTTATTATTATTTTCAAAATTTGCATATGCAAATTAGTCAGTCGATTAGTCAATATGTTAGCTCATTTTTATTTTAATCATTTCAATACTTTTTACAATATATAAAGTTTTACTTATTGTATTTTTATGACTAAAAGAATTCGAGAAGCTAAAATAAATATAAGAATTAATTAATTAATTGCAGTTATGATTTAATTATTGCAGTAAAAATAATATTCGAATTTTGTAAAAAGCCGTTCTTTTTATATCAATTCAAGCAATATAATATTAATAGTAATATTCAATTAGCATAGTAATTGATGCTTTTTATACTTTTTATTCATTCTAACTTTATTAAAGTTTTGCTTTAATTTGTCTTTCGAAGAACTTTGTTTTCTTCATCTATCTAAAAAAGTAGAAAGTAATCATAAACTTTTTGAATAATATCTCTTTTATATTTTACGTATTTGAGTAATTCTTTCAGTTACAGATATACTTTACTTACTAATCTTAGACTTTGATACAAGTCGTTAAAATTGTTAATTTCTCGTTAATAATATAAAAGTTTGAAAATAAGCGCAAAAAAATTTAATTGTTAAACAAAAAAGTAAGTAAGTGAATAATTAAAATAATATTTCTGTGATAATTAGTAATTCAAATCAATTAAAAATAAATTCTGAGCCATTTTTAGAAGAGCTAAAAATTCTACAGAAGACTAAGCTGAAAAAAGCATTCATTTATCGAAGCCTTGATTAATTAATACTGAGATATCCTGTTTTTTTTTTCCTGAATTAGTTTTTGTGAATTAAAATAGCAACCAATAAATACTTTGATATAAGTGATAATTATATATGCCTGTCAAAAGCTTGAATGAATTCTTGTTAATCTTATATGCAAGCCATAAATTGAGCATAGATAATATATTTGCTTAAATTTATGCTAGTAGAAAAGTTAAATGAGTTTTATCCGATGAAATCCTATCAAATTCTTTTCTTTATTCCTTTAATACACTCGAAGATTTCTTACTAAATTTGGCCTTCAAGTTAGGTTCATTTATTTGCTTAAGGAAATTAGTATTTGAGGTATGGAAGGAATTAAGTATTGAGCAATTTATTTTTATATTTTCTGTCAATCGTCTTTTCAATTTAAGCTAAATTAATTTAAATTAAATTAATCATAGGAGCAAATTCAAAAAAAGTTCAGATCACTATTTGAAATGAAATTTTATCAAGTTAAATTGCTAAGTATTGCGTAGTAATTATTTGATCTTTAAGTAATAATTATTTTCATAACGTAAACTGAATCAACTGAATCAATCAAACTAAGATTAGCGGTCAGTTAGACTGAATTCCTCACTAAGATCAGGTAATAGCATCATAAAGCTAAATCGAATTGAATCAAGCTAGTCAATTAAATTGAATCACTTGGCTAAACTGATCTTAATAAGTAAAGCTAGATCAGTTGCGCTATATGGTGTTAATTGGATTGTTTCAGTGGATCAAAATAGATCAGTAACTAACTTTGATTGACTTGGATAAAGTTTTTACAAATGATCCATTATGTTAATTTAAAGTTGTATGCCACAATTTCTAAACTCAAATTTTATTGCTATCATCCTAAAACTCAAGCTGACAGCTAAAATTTTTTCAAAAATTTCAAGTTAAAGATGCAGAATAAAAGATTTTCTATTATGAGATCAAAATTTGGCTTCAAATAAACATAGTTTTCATGCTATAAATGACTCAAAAATTTATTTTATTTTAAAACTTTTAAGAAAAATAACGATAAAAATAACCTTAATATTTATCAGATCTGAAGGACTAATCTAATTATACAGATAATTTACTCATTCAATATAAATCAGTTTTTGAGACTAAATTAAATATCGAATAAAAATCAAAAAACTCAGCTGAATTCGAACTTGAATTTTAATTAAACTTAATTAAATATTATTTTCCTTTAAATAAATGGTGTATTAGATTGAAAACGAAAAAAGTTAAAATTAAAACAATAATTTCAAAATCAAACTAAAATAATTGTTAAAATCAAGAATTATTTATTTCACAAATTTTTAATTAATTTTGAACTTAATAAAAAGTATGATTTAATTAAAATATAATGAAAAGTAAAAAAAATGACTATAAAATTTAGTAGTTAAATTGACTAAAATTGGAAACAAAAATTATAAATCAGAAATGGATATATATTTAAAATTTAGAGCTCATTTCATAGATTAAAATGTGTAAATAAGTATGTGCATGTAAATGTGGATGTGTATACTTTTGAAAAGTTTTAGAATGAACGAGTCGGACTGAATCGATTTACATTACTTTACTTTACTTTACTTTATTCTACTTTACTTGGTCTTACTTTATTCACCTCGTAGTTAAGTACTTGCACGAATAATATTTTTAATTTCTGCCTTTTCGCTTTAAGTCAATTCAAACTTTATGACTACCTTTTATATTAATTATATCAATTTTTAAAATAAGTTTCATTTTTAGGTCTTAAAAAAAATAAATAATTATCGATCAATAAATAATATGACGTTTTAGTAATTATAATTTTGAATTTAAAAAATCGAAATTAAATACATCTTAAGAGTTGAAATTAGCTTATTTGAATTGAACTTCAATTATTCAATTAAAAAATTTTAAGCGCAATAATGTGAGAAATAGTATTTTGCTATAAAATTTTGCTAAAATATTAAATGACATATAAGTTTTGCATAATTTATTTTTATTGCTTATTTGTGCATAAATTTGTAATCATAAAAATGTATTGGATTTTATATGACTATTAATCCATTTTTTATTACTAATATTTCGGGTATTCCGTTATTCTTCTAGACTTTCTAAATAGTTTATCATTCATCGAAATAAAATAACGATGGAAATAATCTATTCAAGAATTTTTTTCTCGAAATTAATTTTCTTGAAGTTAGCTTATGTTAAGATTACAGACGTAGTAGGTAAAAGGATGACTAGTAGTGAACGTGAAAAACGTGAAGAAATAGCGTGGAAATTCCGAGAAAGTAAAGAGTTCGACTTGAATGCTGGACGGAATGCATTTCGATCGGATACAAGCCATGAAGATTGCAATAACGCTGGTAAGCTTGATTATGAATTTTTACTTTTAACTATTTGTTTTGTTACAATTATAGCTATTAATACCATTATCATCATTATCATTATGGTTATCAAAATTGGCATTCTAACTAATATAATCATTATCACAATGAATTAATATTACGTCATTTATTTTATACTAAAATCTAATAAAGGACTTATACTGAACATTAATCCTTTTTATTATTTATATAAATAACTGAAAATTGGAAATACTTTTAAAAATTTTATTATTTAATTTTATAATTGAATCAACTTTTTTAAATATTGATAGTCACCTTCAAATTATTTTTTAGATACGTTTTCGAATTGTTTTATATTATTATTTATGCACTCACTACGTCCACATAAATATGAAAAATTCAAATACATGACTTTTGACCTTACACTTTAGATATATATGACCCCTCAGAGGTCTTTGGGGATTTTTATTGAAATATATTTATGACATATATTTCTTAGATTTAGAAGCTTCTAAAATAAATATTGATTAGCATATTAAGCAAGAATGTAAATCTTACGAGGATATGCAAAATTATTCGTAAATCTCAACTGTTATATTCAATCCAAAATCGATAACTTGCTTAGAAATCCCATTTGATGCCTTGAATTTAGCTTTATTTTTCATAAAAGAACAACTGAGCAAAAATATTCTTGCATACAAAAAACTTTTGCAAAAACTGCTGAAAGTGAATTTATACTTACGTCAAAAATATTTTACGTCATTTTTATGCTAGAAAAATTGCGAACGAATTTTTCATCTTACGTATATCAAAAAAAAAAATTGTATTCATCAAAAAAAGATTGATATTTTTTGGAAAAATTTTTTGGATAAAAATAAAGAAAAGCGTTGTTATCAGCTAATTTTGAAAGCTTTTTTTAAAAACTTTTTTCTATTTTTTAATTTTTATTTTTTGTTAAAAATTATTATTATTTATATTATTGAGCGAAGAGATTTGTAAATATGAATTGCGCAACATTCCATTAATATTATAATATTTGCAAGATTTTTTAGAACTATCAAATAGGCTTCTTCAAAATGCTTGTTAGTTAGGCTTAGGCTAAAGATAGTCTAAGTGAAATTAAGGCCTATCTTTTTTTAAAGGCTTAGAAAGGCCTCTAACAAATCGATTCAAAAACTATTACAAACTAATAGCATTGTGTGATTGCATAGTCAAAATTATGGCAAAAATTTTAGCATAAATTTTAATGTGTGAAAATTTGAAAGCTAAAATAACTATTCTAATTATTAGCATTAAATTATTTGCACAAATTATAATCATCGATTTCTTAAATTAATAATTTCAAAGTTATTATTATTAGTTTTTATTTTTATGAAAGTAACATTGTGATTTTACGAAAAATCAATTTAAATATTGTTACAAGAAATTAAAAATATTTCTTTATTTTAAAATATTTTTATATAACAGCAAATTAATTTTTTATATTACAAATTAAAATATTTTTGAGTTTCATGCGATTATTATGGCATTTGATATCAAAAATTTCTAAGACCAAATATTATGACAATATAATTAGTTAATTAATAATTTTAAAAATATTTAGTTTGTTGTAATACATAAAAAGTGCCAAATATTAAATAAAAAATTTTGGGGAAATTTCTTGTTACAAATTTTTATTAATTATTATATATTATTACTAATTAATCATTAATTTTTTAACTTAAAATTATTATTACTATTTTTAAAATAAAATATTTGATATAAAATTGTGTCTAATGGCGTTGGATTAAAAAATAATGACATAAAAAGCTAAATATTTGCGAGCTAATTTAGCTTTTAATTTTGATTTCATGTTTATACTAACTATTTATTGAAATTTTTAATTTAGATGTAATACTACGCCGAAATATGGCGATGCGATCATTTATGGAATCAGTAGATTCTGATTTTCCACCCGCTCCAGAATTGCCACCATCATTAAATATTGATTTGCAATACCCTGAAGAAGCTATGAAAAAAAGCGAAACTACCGAAACTATTATTGAAGTTCGATTTTATTTCCTTGAAATAATTTTTTTTTAAAGATTTAAAAAACTAAAAAAATAAATCTCTTAAATGTAATTATCGATCTTGTATAAAGTATTTATCGACTGGCACTGATTATTAGAATTTGATTAAGATTTTGTTTTAAATCATCGAAAATATTGCAGAGAAAACCAAAGTCATCAATACATGAAACCATAAGCGGTACTCAAAAATATCCTATGATGGTACCTGGTCCAGGTCACGTAGATGCTGAGCAAGAACTTCACGTAAGCTTACTGCAACAAGATGACGAAGGTTCAGAAAGCGATATTGAAATTAGCACAGCAATGATTAATAAACCTACAAATATGCTTCATTCCAGAAATGTTAGGATTATATTTTTAAAATTAATTTGTAATTTGTCTCGAAATTTTTTTTGTGAAATTTTTAAAAAGTAATTTTTATGATTTCTATATTTTTTCATAAATTTTTGCTAATTTTTTTCATATATAATTCAGAAATTATGTCAAAATTTGAATATTAATAAGCAAATTCGACCTAAATTTTAGAAGCATTCACAGTTTCCAAAATCTTTCAATATTAATATTTTAAGGTAGAACCTGACGTAGACCATAAATTTCTACGTCGCGTATATTCAGTGTCTGCCTTAGAACGACCACGTCCAACCACGCCAACTTCATGGTGTGCTATTGAAAATTACGTGGAAAGTAACGTAAAATCTGATGACAATTCTCATGTATCATTCAAATTAACTCCAAAAACAAAACAAAAAATTCATGTCAGCATACCTAATCAAAATGAACGAAAAAGTAAGTACGATTCTAAGTTTACAAAGTATTTCTGAAGATTAGTAAAATTTTTATTACATCATCAATCTAATAAACGTCTTATATTTTGATCAGATTTAGAAAA